CTGGCGCGTGGCAGGCACCGACTCCTCGGCCTGCCCCTGGGATGGGCACTGTGAGCAGGACCATGGACCGGAGCAGTAAGTGGACCTTTCCCTTCGGGGGCTGATGGGAGGGACCTGAGGCCAAGGTAGAGGGCAGGAGTGAGATGGGAGAACCAGCTACAGCAGGCGGGAGGCAGGTTAGACGGCAGAGAGCACTACCACCCACACGGCGACTTGCTGCAAGAGGTGTCTCATGCAGGTTCTGGAGTCTCCCTCGGGGATCTTTAAAAACAAAAACCATGAGTCGCTCTTACTCTTTTTATCTTATTCCAATTTAATATTTTATTTGACATAACACTTCTATCGTGTGTGCTCTGTGCTAAGCACTTTCATAAATTGTGATTCTAATAAGATAATACTGATTGCGATCATTGTTTGTGTACCAGTCTCTGAAGCTCAGAGAGGTCAAGTCGTTTGTTTGAAGCCACCCAGCCAGAAAGAGAACAGCCAGCATTTTCATTCAGAATTGCCTTCAGCATTAGAATTCTGAGTTTTAAGGAGGAGTTTGTGATCAACCCCGTCAAATGCCTCAGAGCCATGGAGATTAGTCACGGATGGAAGCTACTCTTTTTTTTTTTTTTTAATATATTTTATTGGTTTTTTTACAGAGAGGAAGGGAGAGGGATAGAGAGTAAGAAACATCGATGAGAGGGAAACATCGATCAGCTGCCTCCTGCACGTCCCCTACTGGGGATGTGCCCGCAACCAAGGTACATGCCCTCGACCGGAATCGAACCTGGGACCCTTCGATACACAGGCCAATGCTCTATCCACTGAGCCAAACCGGTCAGAGCTGAAGCTACTCTTATGTCTAATTTTGGGGATTAACCTCTCCAGGAAACAGCATTTGGTTATAACAAGTATGAACTAGGCTAGACTTGCACAAGAACTTCCTGCTAGTGAGAGTCCTAATACATATAAGGAGCACCAGAGCCTAAGGGTCGTGGAGGGCTCTTTAGAAACTTCTATCTACCTGGGCTATTTGGGGTGACATACCTTAGGTGATAGAGCAATGAGCCCCTAAGCACCCTAACCCCTCTGCACCCCCAGGAAGCCAGCAGTATCCAAAGGCTGGCTGGGCAGGCAAGAATATTTTCAGATATAATAGGAATATGTTCATTTTCATATCAGTCCTGAAGTTGTCCAGGGCCCCCAAAGCAGAGGATTCCCTCTCCTTTGCTCCCTCTCCCAGGCACCTCCCTGTCCTCTTCTGGAACAACATGCGCTATTCTGAGCTCCACTTCCCTCCCAGGAATTGCTCACGTGGCCACACTCCACTTTTGCCTCCGCTTGGGGCTTTTGGGGCTTCTCTCAGCCAAAGGGCACCTGTGGGAATGAATCCCTCCACCTCCTCTAGGGAGCACCCCGGCCGCCAGGGGTAAGAACAGAATTTGCCCCATCGGCTCAGCTCCCACAGCCTTTCTGCCAGGAGCCACCCCTGCAGTTACCTGAAAAGTCAGGGTCCCCCCGGTACCTCCAGGCCAGACGTCACCTTTGGTGACCAGGTTCTCCAGCCACCATGCCCCGCGTCACTTTTCTGACTCGGCACTCAGCTACTCTTGCTCACAGAAAGTTCTAGCGGACGTCAGTCACTGCTGAAGGCACTTGGTTATTGGTGAGTCTGAAAGCTATTGCAGCCTCAACTCTGAGAAACGGGAAGTTAGGGAACTGCACACAGTGGGTAAGTGCTCACTAAATGTTTCCTGATTGATCCAAAATTGGCCAGAACTGGCCAGCGTTTTCTAATCAGTTTTCTAACCCTCTGAATAGCATTTTTGATAAGCTTATTTCCAAGGTATGACGCCTGGCAGGCTCCAATACTGTCCTCTGAATGTCAGGAAGTTCTGTCTTTGGCTTCAGCCCACCTGTAGGCAGCGGGGGTTCTAATCTCTGGGGTAGTTTGAGCCTCAGTTTCCCTGAAGTGCCGGACAGTAGAGGGACAGAGTCACAGAGAGAGGCCTACAGCCATGGGTCAGCCCCTGGAAGGCAGCCTGAATAAACAACCGCCAGCCAGAGAAAGAGGAGACTCACAGTCCCTGCCACTGTCCCACTTTCGCTCGCTCGGCTGGCAGGAGCGAGGAGGAGGGGAAGAAGCGAGTATTTGGGGAAAGCTCGCTCTGGGCTTGGTGCTGTGGGTAAGTCATGCCCAACCCTCTGATGCACCCTCAAGGGAGGTATTAGTATTCCCATTTCCAGGAACAGGAAACTGAGGCTCAGAGAGGTGGAGGGAGCCAGCCAAGGGCCCTTGGTGACACGCTCCTTGATCCACCACGGCCTCCCTCCTGTTCTGACCAGGCGCTTGGCACTGGGATGAAACCCTGCACTCTGGCTCCAAAGCCCGTGTTTTTCCACCTTTGTCCAACAGGCTCCTGTTGCTTGGGAATAAGCCTCCACCCGCTGAAATTGTTACTTACTTTATGAATAGGGAATTCATTCACATGGCACAAAATTCCAAAGGCACAAAGGGGTATACAGTAAAAACTCCCTCCCGCCCCGTCTCTGGCCACCCCGCTTTCCTTCCTGGAACCAAACACCGCTGCTCCTCTCGTGTCTTCTCTGAGGTGCTCTGTGTGGGTACAAGCAACATGTGTCCATGCTCTCCCTGTTTTTTTATTTATTTACAAGTTCAGTGCAGGTTTTAAAGTCCCCTGGGCACAGGGGGTGCAGTGCCCAGGGCCCATGATACTTTTGGGAGCCTGTGAAAAAAAATTTTTTTTCAAAATCAGGAGAAAATGAACTTGAGGGCATCTGAAAGTAGGCAGAGCCACACTGACTCCAGCCTTGGGCACTAAAGCCCTGAGATCGTGACAAGCACTTACATGGTCACAGAACCCTAAGACTTAATTGGCAGTTACCACGATGACCCTTCCATAACACACACACACACACACACACACACACACACACACACACGCTCATCTAGCCTCTGCTTGTTTACCTCTATTGATGAGGAACTCACCACCTCCCAAGGCCACCCACTACTGGCTACTTACAAGCAGCTCCGTTACTAGAATTTGTGTGGAAACTGACTTTTCAGACATTGGACCCATTGGTCCCGGGTCTAGCTTTGTGGCGCACTGAGAACTCATTCATTTAGCACCTCCTGAGTGCCCACTCTCTGCCAGGCACTCTGCTAGGTCCTGGAGATACTGAGATGAGGGAGGCACAGGCCAGTCCTCACGTAGTTCGGTCTTGTAGGAGAGATAGACAAGCCACTGGTTAAAACACATTGTTATGCAGAGAGAAGCTATGCAAGCTGCCTGCCTGGCTCCTGTACTTCAGAGCTATGTGACCTCTGTGGGCCTCAGTTTCCTCATCTGTAAAATGGGATACTAACATCACATACCTACCATCTCATAGGGTTGCTGTGAGAATGAACTGAGATAATTAAGGTAAAGCACCAAGTATGTGCTCAATAAAGGTTAGCTTGGCTTATTACTACTCCAGTGCACACGGAGGCTGTGAGGCAGAGAGGAGGGAGTCACCTCTAGAGGGATCAGGAAGGCTTCCTAGAAGAGGTGATGTTTGAGCTTAGATATTAAGATCAAGTAGGATTCCTTGGGCTGCCAGGCAGTGGAGGGGTGCTCCAGGCTGAGGGAGAAGGACATGCAGAGAGGGAACTGCTGAGGCTAATGAGGATTGAGGGGTGTAGTTCATTCAGCAGGCTCTTTGTTTCTGGGTCCTCTGAAGCCTTGACCTCAGGCATTTTCAATCCCTTAAGGCTTCACGGGTGGGAGGGGGGGGAGTGGCTATAGCTGTCTGGTGCTGCCCCTTTTAATGAGGTGGAGGGTGTTCTGTTCTTTAACTTGTGGCTTCTTCCAGGGAAAGCCTGGCGGACACCTTAGCACTGGAGGGAGAGGGCTGGGGTCTCTGGGAGACCCCCAGCAGCAGCTCTGAGTAGTTCAAACAACCAGGGCCCAAAGTTAGCACCTTGATTCTAGTCCCAGCTCTGCCCAACTCTCGCTGAGACCCCGAGCTCCTCTGAGTCTGAGACTCAGTCTCCCCATCTGTTCAATGAGAGTTGGTCCAGAGACTAAGACTCCCAGGACTGCTTCTTGAAGGCTCAGACTCAGGACCAGCTAGGCTGGAGAGGAGGAGGATCCTGGGACCTCTGGGCCCGATCCATCAGTCCTACTCTGAGCAGGCCTGTGTGGCCCTGGAGTTGGGGGAGGAGGTGGGAGGAACAGAGGAGGCCTGTCCTCTGGGCGAGGGGGCCTCTGGCAGCAGCTTCCTGTGTGGTTCCAGGCTGGGGGCCCAGCCCACCTCGGGACAGAGGAGCCTTTCATGGGGCTGGTTCTCAGGAAGGGGGTGCAGTATGGGAGCCACTCAGGTGAGGGCTGCCTGAGAGTCTGCGTGTGGCAGAGCCGTGGGAGGGCTAACACGTGTATGTCCAAGTCAGACTGGGCCTTGGAAAGTCAGGCACCACTGCCTCCCATTTTGCAAATGAGGAAACTGAGGCCCAGAGAAGAGAAGGGAGGTGACCAAGACCAGCCAGGGCAGAGGCGGAGCTAGAACCCTGGGCTTCAGGTGTGGGCGAGGGGCGAGTGTGCCCCTGGCGAGTGTGCGTCAGTGTGTAGCTGAGTGTTTGTTAGCCTGTGAGAGCATGTGTTTGTTCATGGTGAATTTGGGAGTGTTGGTGTGGGGCTGGGTGTCATGAGGGAGCCAGGTGGGGGAAGGGCAGTCGTCTCAGGCCTCCTATGCCTCCTTAGGACCCACCCTGGGGCAGCGCTGCCCAATGCCACCTTCTGCCTCATCCCCGGCCACCGTGCTGATGGCTTGCGCTTCCTCCAAGCCCTGCAGGTACGACCCCAACTTGAGCATTCCCCATCTCTTCCCCCCACACTCCTGAGCCGCCTGGGTCTCTGGGCCCCGGGCCAATGGTAGGAGAGGTGAGCTGCTCTTTACGCTGGGGCTCAGGTGTGCCTGTGTCCAGAGTCATCCACCCTCTGCACAGCACCCACACTCCCCAAAAAACACTTTTCTCCTCTTTGCTTCTTGCCCCCAATAGCAGCAGCTGCTGACTTGGAACTGGGAGGTGGGTGAGGGTGTGCAGGGTGGGGCTGGGCCCGCCAGTGACACCCCTGCCCCCCAGGCTGGCTGCGTCCCTGTGCTTCTCAGCCCTCGCTGGGAGCTGCCCTTCTCGGAGGTCATCGACTGGACCAAGGCGGCCATTGTAGCAGACGAGAGGCTCCCACTGCAGGTAGCTGAGGGCCCTGCCCATGGGGTGGGGACTGGGCCCCGGACATGGGAGGGACCCCAGGATCCCAGCCCCCAGGCTAGCCTCCGTCCTCATCTCATGTGATATACTGACGATCCCTCCCCCCCCCCCCCCCCCACCCCATCAAGCCTCTGGGATTCCATAGGATCAGAAGGAGGCAGACTCCTGAGGGTTCTGAGAGCAAGTCCTGAGCCGCTGTCTGCCTCAGTTTCCCCATATGTACAATGGGTTAAGTTAGACCAGGTGATTTCCATGGGCTCAGCCCCACTGGTCCATGACTATTTAAATACCCAATTTAAGGGAAGACCACATGCATGCACACACACACACACACATACACACACTCTCTCTCACACACACACACATCAGAATCGGAGCGCCTCCATGTGGCTTTGGGTGGCAAAGGAAAAGACAGTGACTTTTCCATCGGATGAAGCTAATTTTGCCCAGCTCTGAAAAACATGTCTGAGCCTTGAATCTGCTGAGAAGTGAGAATGGTGTAGAGTTAATAACATCTACTCTTCACTGAGCCTCTGCTTTGTGCTGATTTAATCCTCACAACCACCCTATGAGGCAGGTACAGTTATCCTCCCCACTTTATAGATGAGGAAATAGGCTCCGAGAGGTTAAGTAACGTGTCCACCGTCAGTTACTAAATGGCATGTACACTCAGCTCTCTGTGACCCTTGAACTCCGTATGCTGTTACCGGGGACTTGACCACAGGTGGCCGTGGCTAACGGGAGACCCACGGAGAGGGGCTCTGGTTCCCAGACCTCCACCCCAGGCTGTCCCCACCCGAGGGTCAGTCAGGGCCTGAGGCGGCCGCATGCCTGCTCCTTTGCTCCCTCTGTGGCCCAGGTGCTGGCTGCCCTCCGGGAGATGCCCCCCACGCGGGTCCTCGCCCTGCGCCAGCAGACCCAGTTTCTGTGGGACACCTACTTCTCCTCAATGGAGAAGGTCATCCGTACCACTCTCGAGGTAAGGGGGACTCCCTGGTGGGGGCTCCTGCCTCACCCCTCTCCGGACACCTCCGGGCTTCCCCCTTAAAGACGCTCCTGGGATGAAGCTGGGACTGGAGCTCTCGGATACGTTCCTTCCCTGATGTTGGCCTCAGTTTCCCCATCTGCACAGGGACAGCTGTGGCATGTACCAACTCCCGCTGATAGGTCCTGGCTGCCGGGTGCTGTGTTGGGAGGGGTTCTGGGCTGGAGAGAATGGCAGGAGCTGTTAGTGATGTCGGTCATGGGTGAGGAAGGAGAGGGAGGCAAGCTCGCCGACATCTGCCAACTGTGGACACCATCCCCGAGTGCCCCCTACTCTGGACCTCTGCATCTGAACCCTCCTGTCCCCAGGGATCAGGTGATGCAACTGCCACCCCCCACCCTCAGCCTTATGGGGGAGGAGAGGGAAGGCCAGGTCCTCACTTCCTCAGACCCCGCCCCTGCCGCCCTGGCCACGCCCTCTGCAGAGCCTGCGTTCATTCTGCAGATCATTCAGGACCGGATCCTCGGAGCATCCGCTCACCCATCGCTGTTGTGGAACAGCCCCCCAGGGGCACTCCTGGCCCTGCCCGCGTTCTCCACGAGTCCCCTGGACTTCCCCTTCTATCACCTACAGCAGGGTAGGTCCTGGGGGCGGGACAACCTGAAGTCCCCTCATCAACTCTCCCCCAGTTCCTCCCAGTCTCAACCACAGAGCCCCACCAGGGCCCTCCCCAGGTCCCCAGCATCTCCTGGCTCCCAGGGTCCCCAACCCAGGTCACTCTCCAGGGCATTCTGTCCCCTCCCACCCTAATAGCCTGTGTCCTTCCCCAGGCTCTCGCCCTGCAGGCAGGTTCAGCGCCCTCATCTGGGTGGGGGCCACAGGCCAGCCCCCCCTGAAGCTCATCCAGGCAGTGGCAGGCTCCCAGCACTGTGCCCAGGTCTGCCCCCTTGCCAGCTGGGGTCCTGGGATCCAGGGTGGGGGGAAAGGGCAGGGCCCTTGAGGATACCTAGACCCCAAAGATAACCACCATTTTGGGGAGAGGAGGCACGGGGAGGACTTTCAAGTGCCCTTGCTGCCTTTTTCTGTACTTCCCAAGTTTCTTTTTCTTTTTCTTTTTTTAGTTTTTATTGATTTTTAGAGAGAGAGGAAGGGAGATACAGGAACATCAATGATGAGAGAGAATCATCGATCAGTGGGCTGCCTCCTGCACCCCCCCTACTGGGGATCGAGCTCACAACCTGGGCATGTACCCTGATGGGGATTCAAACTGGTGGCCTTTTGGTTCATGGGTCGATGCTCAACCACTGAGCCACACCGCCAGGCAAGTCCCAGGCCTCTTACACTTTCCCCCCACCCTCTTTTCTACCTCCCCATGGAAATTGATGACTTTATCTAAAAAGAGGTGCCTCTTGAGGAGGCTGGAGAAATAAACACACCTGTGTTCACTCATTTATTCACCCAGCAGTCACTTTCTGAGCACCAGGCCCTGGACTTGATGCTGAGGATACAGAGAAAAGGCAGGAAAGGGTTCTGCCCTGAGGTTCGGATTCACTTAGCATTTCCTAGTACACACACTGTCAAATGTCACTTCCAGAGAAGCCAGATAAACTCCCTAGAGTACTTGCAGAGCAGGGAAGCCGTGAGCTCAGCCAGGGCAGATGGAGTGGCAACAAAGAGGGGACATTGAGCTGGGCTGGGAATGATAATGGAGCAGGACAATGAAAATCTTCGAGAAGATGGGGGTGGGACATGGGGTCAGGACCACCGCCTGAGTTCTAATGCCACAGGCAGCTACCTCCATGTCACTGGAATTCCTGCCCTCCAGAAGCCCAGAGGCAAGAACAGGGCAGTAATGACAAGACTTTGGCTGCAACTAAGCTCTTCCCAAACTCACATATTTCTTCCATCCTGAGAAAGGAGGCTCCTGGGACCTTACTGCCCCGAACTTCAGTAACACCCCCCTTTCCGCCTAGATCTTGGTTCTCTGGAGCAATGACAAGCCACCCCCACCCAGTTGGCCTGAGACAGCAGTGCCCTTGCTGGTCATCGAGGGGCACAGGAAGGTACAGGATGGGGAGGGGCACGGAAGAGGTGGGCTCACCCAGCAGGAAGGCTGGGAACTGGGGGAGGCTGGACTTCATGTTGGGCCTGAAGAAATCAGACAGGAGGTTTTGGCTACAGACCTAACAGGCATGATTCTCTTCCATCCCTGGCCTTGTGAATTGTGCTTCCAGAGAACTGGGGTTTTATGAGTTGGGAGTATGTTGGATGTTTCAGATGAGGGATAGAGGAGAAGCCTGGGGTCCTGAGGAAACAGCCAGATGGCAGCAAATGGGCCAGAGGGGGTGAACCTGGGATGGTATGAGTCACCTGCTTGCTGTGTGGTTCTGGGCAAGTCCCTTCATCTCTGGACCTGTTTCTTTCAAACAAAGGAGGTTTGACAACCCCCGCTGGAGTTGAGGTCAGCCTCCACTGAGACAAGGGAGGAATCCTGAGATGTCCAAACTGAAAGGGCCCCCAGACACCACTGTCCCCAAAGAGGAAACTGAACTCCAGAGGTGGAAGGAGCTCAGGTCCGAGTGCTGCGCAGGCTTGTTTTCACTGCCCGTCCTTCACACCCCGCCCGCCCCTCCCCTGCAGGTCAGCGACCGCTTCCTCCCGTACAGTGCCATCAGCACCGATGCCATCCTCAGCCTTGATGCCCACAGCAGCCTTTCCACCAGCGAGGTGAGGACTGGGCCCCAGAGGAGCCCAGTGTGGGTGGGGACTGAGCCAGAGGACCCTGGTGGCTCCTCGGATTCCCTGAGCAGGGAGGGCCAGATGTCAAGAGGCCCAGCCTTTTGCTTTGAAACCACCCCAGCAAGCCACTCAGCCTCCACCTTAGAAACCGAATAGCTTTCCACAGACTCTTTCAAAAACATTATTTTCAGCTCCCAGCTGAAAAGT